TCAGGGATTGCGGCCAGGATACAGGAGACGGTCAGAGATTGAGAAACATACTACAGGATACAGTTAGAGACTGCTGACAGATACTACAGGAGAGGGTCAGAGACTGCAGACATACTAGAGGAGACAGTTAGAGAAGAGCGGACTGGGACAGGAGACAGGTCAAAGATTGCGGAAAGGATACAGGAGACTGTCAGGACAGACACAATACAGGAGATGGTCAGAGGCTGCAGACATACTAGAGGAGACGGTCAGGGATTGCGGGACAGGATACAGGAGACTGTCAGAGATTGAGAAAGGATACTACAGGATAGGTTACAGAGACTGCTGATAGGACAGGAGAGGGTCAGAGACTGCAGACTACAGAGGATACAGTTAGAGATTGCGGACAGGATACAGGAGACTGCAAAGATTGCGGAAAGGATACAGGAGACGGTCAGGATGCAGACATACGGACAGGAGATGGTCAGAGACTGCAGACATACACAGAAGAGGGTGCGAGACTGGAGACATACTACAGGAGGAAGTAAGAAACTGCGGACAGGATAGGAGAAGGATACAGCGGACTGGATACAGAAGACTGCAGACAGGATACTGTGGACAGATACAGGAGACTGCAGGAAGACTGCGGACAGGATACAGGAGACTGCGGACAGGATACAGTGGGCCTGCGATACAGAAGACTGCAGACAGGATACTGTGGACAAGATACAGGAGACTGCAGGACACAGAAGACTGCGGACAGAATACAAGAGACTGCGGACAGGATACAGGAGATTGTGGACAGGATACAGGAGATTGTGGACAGGATACAGGAGGAGACGGTCAGAGATTGTGGACATACTACAGGAGATGGTCAGAGACTGCGGACAGAATACAGGAGATGGTCAGAGACTACAGATATGCTAAAGGAGATGGTAAGAAACTGTGGACAGGATACAGGAGACTGCGGACAGGATACAGGAGACTGCGGATAGGATACAGGAGACTGCGGATAGGATACAGGAGATTGCGGACAGGATACAGGAGACTGCGGATAGGATACAGGAGCCTGCGGACATGATACAGAAGATTGCGGACAGGATACAGAAGATTGTGGACAGGATACTGTGGACAGAATACAGGAGATTGCGGACAGGATACAGGAGACTGCGGACAGGATACAGGAGCCTGCGGACAGGATACAGGAGACTGCGAACAGGATAGAGGAGCCTGCGGCCAGGATACAAGAGATTGTGGACAGGATGCAGAAGATTGCGGACAGGATACTGTGGACAGAATACAAGAGATTGCGGACAGGATGCAGGAGACTGCGGATAGGATACAGGAGACTGCAGACAGGATACAGGAGCCTGCGGACAGGATACAGGAGACTGCGGATAGGATACAAGAGACTGCGGACAGGTCAGCAAATTTGCAGAGGATTGGTCCAGGCAGAAGGAATGGATGGGTGAAAGGATGGAAGGGGTGGAAGGGAGGAGTGGGTGGAAGGAAGAGATGGGTGGAGGGAAGGGTGGAAGAAAAGGAGGGGGGGTGTGGAAGGAAGGGGTGGGTGGAAGGAAGGAAGGGTGGAAGGAAGGAAAGAAGAGATGGATGGAAGGGATGGGTGGGGGAAGGAAGGAAGGGGGGGATAGGAGGAAGGGGTGGGTGAAAGGAAGGAAGGGGGGGGGGGGGGAGGGGGGGGAAGGAAGGAGGGAAGGAAGGAGGGAGGGGGGGGGGGAAGGAAGGAAGGAAGGAAGGAAGGGGAAGGAGTGGGGGTAAGGGAGGAAGGGGGGGGATGGGTGGAAGGAAGGAAGGGTGGGGGGGGGGGAAGGGAGGGGGAATGGAATGGGGGGGTGGGTCGAAGGAGGAGGGGAGGGAAGGGGGGGGGGGGGGAAGGAAGGAAGGAAGGGGTGGGTGGGGGGGGGGGGGAAAGAAGGAAGGAAGGAAGGGGGAAGGGGGAAGGAAGGAAGGAAGGAAGGAAGGGGGGTGGGGGGGGGGGGGAAGGAAGGGGTGGATGGGGGGAAGGAAGGGGGGGGTGGAAGGGGGAAGAGAGTGGGTGGAAGGGGGGGTTTGCTGGAAGGAAGGAGGGGAGGAAGTGAGGGGTGTGTGGAAGGAAGGAAGGGGGGGGGGGAAGGAAGGGGGGGGAAGGAAGGGGAGGGGAAGGAAGGAAGGAAGGAAGGAAGGAAGGGAAGGAAGGGGGAAGTTGAAGGAGGAGGAAGGAAGGAAGGGGGGGGGAAGGAAAGGGGGGTGGAAGGATGGGGGGTGGAAGGAAGGAAGGCCTGGGAAGGAGGGAGGAAGGAAGGAAAGAAGGAAGGAAGGGGGGGGAAGGGAGGGGGAGTTGAAGGATGGAAGGAAGGAAGGGGGGGGATGGAAGGGGGGGGGGGAAGGAAGGGGGGGGTGGGGAAAGAAGAGGGGGGGGGGGGAAGGAAGATGGAAGGGGGGGGTGGTGGGTGGAAGGAAGGGAGGAGGGGGGGGGGGGAGGAAGGAAGGAAGGAAGGGGGGGGGAAGGATGGAATGAAGGGGGGGGGGGGAAGGAAGGGGGGGGGGGAGGATCAAAGGAAGGAGGGGGGGAAAGAAGGAAGGAAGGAAGGAAGGAAGGAAGGAAGGAAGGAAGGAAGGGGTAGATAGAAGGGGGGGGGGAGTTGAAGGATGGAAGGAAGGAAGGGGGGTGGAAGGAGGGGAGGTGGAAGGATGGGGGGTGGAAGGATGGAAGGAAGTGGGGGTGGAAGGAAGGGAGGGAGGGTGGGAGGATGGATGGAAGGAAGGGGGGTGGAAGGAAGGAAGGGAGGGGAGGGGTGAGAGGAAGGTAGGCAGGGCATGGAAGGATGGAAGGGAGGGGGTGGAAGGAAGGGGGGGGGTGGAAGGATAGGAGGGAGGGGATAGAAGGATTTAAGAAAGGGAGGGGGTGGAAGGATGGGTGGGGGTATGGAAGGAAGGAAGGGAGGTCAGACTCACATGACTCCTTCAGAAGCATCAGAGCTGTCAGCTGCAGTATTCAGTTTCCTGTCTACACATCCTCTGAAGCTGCACGGATTGGAGTCAAAGCAGATCTAACCTCTCTCCCCTCTTCTTTTAGTGCGGAGGATGAAGGGAGAGGCTGGGCACTGAGAAGAACACAGCGGTGGGAACACAAAATGAAAACTGAACTGTTCTGTGCAGCGGTGGGGGCAGCGATCAGTGCTGGGTCTATAGGTGTGTGGGAGGGGTGGCAGTGGGTTCGGTGACAAGCAGCGATCTCCTGTATGACTTTCAATGAAGCAGCTGGAAGCTTGATCTCCTCCTCTCCCTCTCTCGCTGCTTTCAGCTGCTTCATTGAAAGCCATACAGGAGATTGCTGCTTGTCACCACAACCACCCCAACCCCTCCCACACACTCCTAGTCCCAGCACTGCTTGCCGTCTCCACCTTATTTCCACTTGCGAGTGGAAATTTCAAGGGCTGCAGCCTGCAGGGATGGTTGGCAACTCTCCTCTGGGAGGTTCAGATCCCCCTGACCCCCCCCCCCCCTTATCTACGCCCCACAACACTGGTCTAGTGACATAGTACTGCTGCTGTGGCATTGATGAGAGATAATGGCTGATGGCACAGATATCAGAGCAGCCAGCCATTGCACATGATCACCGCCACAGCGGTACAACATCACCATAGTGACACTACACTATTGGTCTGGTGACAGTATGAAACGAAACAAAACAAAACATATTTATTTTTACAATTTTTTTTACATATTGTCACCAGAGCAATGCAGTGTTGCAATTGGCACACTACTATTCTAGGGGGTGATTTTTTTTACACTATAATTCTTTTTACAGTGATGATCACTGTAATAAGCAATTTCTAACACTGTTTAAAGGTTTCATTCATGTAACCTTGCTTACCACTGTGATGCTGTGATTGGTCACAGCTATCACATGGTACAGAGCTCTGTGCTTTTCCCTGGTACCATGTGATCACTATGACCAATCGACCAATCACAACCAAGTCATCATGAATTACAGCCTTGCCTAATATTGTAACTGTGATCGCTGTGATTGGTCACAGTGAGCACATAGTACCAGGGCTGCTGTGAGTGGCTTGGTAACATCTCAAGTATGATCAGTGGGAACAGGATGAACCAGAGCTCAATTTGAAGTGTCATGGCAAAGGCTGCGAATACTTATGTACATGTGTTTTTTTTTTTTTTTATTTTTAATAAATTGCAAAGATTTCAAAATGAACTTCTTCACGTCATCATTATGGGGTATTGTGTGTAAAATGTTGAGGAAAAAAATGAATTTAATCCATTTTGGAATAAGGCTGTAACATAACAAAATGTGGCAAAAGTTAAGCGCTGTAAATACTTTCGGAATGCACTGTACTAAAAAAAAAAAACAGTTAAAAAAATAATAATGAACACTCCGATGGTCTAAGGGGGGAGTTATGGAAGAAGCAGAGCAGTCCAAGATTTTCCCTTACCCAGCAATATCTTAATTTTTTTTTCCATAATACATGTTTTTTATTGGGTTTTACAAATATAGTTACAACAACAACAACAAAAAAACAAAAAAACAAAAATAGGACAGTGAAAAGCTACACAATATCACAGTATAGGTGTTGCGCTAAAGTTCAACAGAGAAAAAAGAAATTATTGAATAATTCCTAACAGTTCTACAAGTTCCACAAACTACTGTATTTTTCGCTCCATAAGACGCACCTGACCATAAGACGCACCTAGGTTTTAGAGGCAGAAAACAGGGGAAAAAAATTCTGAACTAATGGACTGCAGACACAGTACAGGAGATGACCAGAGACTGCGGACACAGTACAGGAGATGACCAGAGACTGTGGACACAGTTCAGGGAATGACCAGAGACTGCGGACACAGTTCAGGGAATGACCAGAGACTGCGGACACAGTACAGGAGATGACCAGAGACTGCGGACATAGTACAGGAGATGACCAGAGACTGCGGACACAGTACAGGGGATGACCAGAGACTGCGGACACAATACAGGGGATGACCAGAGACTGCAGACATAGTACAGGAGATGACCAGAGACTGCAGACACAGTACAGGGATGACCAGAGACTGCGGCCACAGTACAGGAGATGACCAGAGACTGCGGACACAATACAGGGGATGACCAGAGACTGCAGACATAGTACAGGAGATGACCAGAGACTGCAGACACAGTACAGGGATGACCAGAGACTGCGGACATAGTACAGGAGATGACTAGAGACTGCAGACACAGTACAGGGATGACCAGAGACTGCGGACAGCACAGGGATGACCAGAGACTGCGGACAGCACAGGGATGACCAGAGACTGCGGATAGTACAGGGGATGACTGCTGACCTTTGGGGAGGGGGGGGGGGGGAGCGGGTACCTGAATTTGACAGGTACCCGCTCCCACTTCCGCGGAGTTGTTCTTTCATCTTACCTGTTCCTCTATCCAGCCGCGCGCTGTCTTCCCGGCTTCTGTAATGGCGCTCGGCATGACAGCCGGGTGCCCAGTGCGCATGAGCGAGAAGCACTTGCGCTTTGTGATTGGTCTGGCGGCTTCTGGGATCTGTCATGTGTCCCAGGTGCCGCCTTACCATTCACAAAAAGCACCGCTTCCTGCGCATGCGCACTTGGCACCCGGCTGTCATGCCCACACACTACAGAAGCCGGGAAGACCGCGCCGCTGGATAGAGGAACGGGTAAGATGAAAGAACAACTCCACGGAAGTGGGAGCGGGTATCTGTCAAATTCAGGTACCCGCTCCCCCCCCTCCCCAAAGGTCAGCAGTCATCTCTAGAAGGTCCCGCTGTAGAGCTGAGCGGCCGGCCCGGTATTCTGACACGGCGGCAGTGGAAATACCGGACTGGCCGCTCCATATTCGCTTCATAAGACGCACTAACATTTTCCCCCCTTTTTTTTGGGGGAAAAAAGTGCGTCTTATGGTGCGAAAAATACGGTAATCATTTTAGAGTATCCACAAATAGGTTAAACATAATAATATCTTAGCATTGGAAAAGTGTATATTATCTGTGCAAATTCAAATATATTGGTAACTCATGATTAAATATTAATTTGTGATCCACCCAATATCACCTAATGTATAATATCCGTATTAGTGTAAAATTAAAAAATATAATCTATATGCATCAAAAAATTCATATTAAATATAAATAAAAAATTCACATTAAAACACAAATCAAGAATAAATTAAAAAATGTTTTTTAAAAAATATAAAAAATAAAGTCCAATGAATAGTTGTGCAAAAAATAACTGTGCAATATATATCTGTGCAAAAAATATATGTGCAAAAAAAAAAGTGTTCCAACAAGTATTATGTATACTCTCCTTCCAGTTGATTTGTAGCAAAGTAGCTGTAGTCTTGCAGCTTTACTATATGCCTGAGTGAATGTAAGGTTGTCTCCCTCCTTGATCCACTCCTTGGTGTAATTTTCTAAGTATCCTTGTAACTCCCATGCAAGAAAGAAAAAGAGATATTGTGCCTTATCCAAGAGGTATATAAGTGATCTTTAATGTGCTCCCATATGCACTCACATTTCAATTGATAACAATGCGCTTTTTAAAACCAATAGACCGCCACACGCGGTTAGATTCAAACTCGTGGGCGTGCTGACACACACCCTCAGTACTCGCCGTATTGTAGATGCGTGGTGACGTCACTGCCCCTCCCCAACGCGTTGCGCCCCAGGGATAGCGTAGCTTCGCCTGGGGGATGTAGTGTAACGATCACCATGCCTCCGCTCCTTATATAGTGTTTTGCCAGCGCCATTTTAACGAAGTGTGAACGGGCACGGCCATATTTTTGGGGTCAAACTGTATAAGAATATGCATTTACATTGTATCTATTTAGTAACTCTTATATAATTACAGTGTCTGTCACAGCAATCTACGGCTTTGATGACGGCATGTATCGCGCACCACCCAAATTGATACAGCTATTACAACAAGTACATTTTGTTGCAATCCAATTATTTAATTTTTAACATTTATATAATCAGTATTATTCAACTTATAAAATAAATCAATATATGTGTGAGTGCAATATGTACCGTATTTTTTCGCCGTATAAGACGCACCTGACCATAAGACGCACCTAGGTTTTAGAGGCAGAAAACGGGCAAAAAAAATTCTGAACTAATGGACTGCAGACACAGTACAGGAGATGACCAGAGACTGCGGACAGCACAGGGATGATCAGAGACTGCGGACAGCACAGGGATGACCAGAGACTGCGGACAGCACAGGGATGACCAGAGACTGCGGACAGCACAGGGATGACCAGAGACTGCGGACAGCACAGGGATGACCAGAGACTGCGGACAGCACAGGGATGACCAGAAACTGCGGACAGCACAGGGATGACCAGAGACTGCGGACAGTACAGATGACTGCTGACCTTTGGGGAGGTGGGGAGCGGGTACCTGAATTTGACAGGTACCCGCTCTTACTTCCGCAGAGTTTTTGTTTGATCTTACCTGTTCCTCGATCCAGCCGCACGCTGTCTTCCCGGCTTCTGTAATGGCGCTCGGCATGACAGCCGGGTGCCCAGTGCGCATGAGCGAGAAGCACTTGCACTTTGTGATTGGTCCGGCGGCTTCTGGGATCTGTCATGTGTCCCAGGTACCGCCTTACCATTCACAAAAAGCACCGCTTCTTGCGCATGCGCACTTGGCACCTGGCTGTCATGCCCAGTGCCCACACTACAGAAGCCGGGAAGACAGCACGCTGCTGGATAGAGGAAGGTCCCGCTGCAGAGCTGAGCGGCCGGCCCGGTATTCTGACACGGCCGCGGTGGAAATACCGGACCGGCCGCTCCATATTCGCCCCATAAGACGCACTGACATTTCCCCCTCAGTTTCGGGGAAGAAAAAGTGCGTCTTATACGGCGAAAAATACGGTAAGTGTGACAAATAAAACCATATTATTTAATTGTTCTTCTAAAAAATAAATTTAAATGAATGAATGAATTAAAATGAAATAAAATAAAATAAATAAATATAACAAATATAAAAAATAAAATAATATAATATAAAAGAAAAAAATGAATTAAAATAACTAGTGTTATCATTTATGCCTACCCCACATATATTTAATGAACCAACTATCGCCTATGTCTCAATAATATATATATATATATCAAATATATATTATAATTACCGCTGAATTTGTCTGTGTGTTTTATACCCAACCTAAATATTAGCCACTCTTGTTTTAATAATCGCTCAGAAAACATGATCAATCAAATTCTTTATTTAAACCATTTGGGGTTAAACTATTCATTTCATAAATCCAATAGGATTCTTTTTTACTAACTTCTCTGATTAGATTATCTCCTCTCCAATGTATATTATGTTTTTCAATACCCCAGAATTCCAAACTTTCAACTTTTTGTTCATGAAATTGTCGAAAATGTAGCGGTACGTTATGATATTTAAATCCTTTAATGATGTTACGAACATGTTCTTTGATGCGATCTTTTAATGGTCTTTTGGTTTTCCCAATATAGATTTTGTTACAAGGGCATTTTAGAGCATAAACAACTCCTTTCGTGTCGCACGATATAAATTGTTTGATCTTATACATATGACCATTAGTAGGATTGATAAATTCCTTTCTGTGTTTTGGATTATGTTTTGTTCTTAAACAGCTGTAGCATCTACCACATTTATAAAATCCTGTTCCTTGAAAGAACGTGAGACTTTTGTTTAATTTTGGTGGATTCAGTATGTTCTTGACTACTCTATCACGTATGTTGGGGGCCTTTTTATATATATATATATATATATATATATATATATATATATGGGTTTTTCTGCTAATATATTCTTCAAATCCTTATCCAGTTTTAATATATCCCAATGTCTGTTAACTATTCTTTGTATATCTCTGTATTGTTTGTTATATGGTAATATCATGGCTATAGTATTGTCCTCCACCTTTTTCTTAGATTTTGTAGCTTTTAACAAGAGATTTCTACCCAGTGCCTCAATTTTAGTTCTTTCTTCTATTAATTCTTGCTTGTACCCTTTTTCTATGAATCTCTCCACCAAAATATTGCTCTGTTCTTGATAATCTTTTACATTGGTGCAATTGCGTCTCAGCCTCATAAACTGACCTCTTGGTATGTTTTTGATCCGTGGTTTATAATGGCAACTATGAGTGGGAATGTAAGCATTTCTATCTGTAGGGACTTCTTAGCGTGTGGTGTCGTCTTGGATGACCACGTCATCTCCATCCTTCATTTTTTTCTCTGTTGGTGGTGGTGAGTTCTCTTTTAATTGTTAATATTTATACTGTATGTCTGCTAATTTTATTTCTGCAATAAATGGTCAATTGGTTTTTTCATTCAAGCCGTAGTTTGTCCTCATTGGGACCCCTTGACCTTAGGGATCTCTTTCCCTTGGTCTCAACCTCATTTTCTTGTGCATTAATAGGTTCCGAGGACAACCACATTATTATTCTCATGTGAGTCGGCTATATCTATTTTGTAATACTAGGGGTCACCATGCCTGGAACCCCTTAGGTTTTCTTTATTCATTATTTAGCTTAGGGCATCCCGTTTTTTTTTTTTACCATTGTGTTATTTGCTGTCTATGTAGAGAAGAGAAAAGTGAAAGATTTGTCTCATCCTGGTCACCATTTATTTTGAATGATTGCCATCTGGTAGATGGTGTAAAAACATTAAAGTTGAGGACAGATTTAGTTTTTTTCCAAGGACTATAAAAGCATTAAATATGGTAAGAATATTAAAATAATGAGCCGGGTGGTTCTAGGCTGCTGTTATTGGTGTTCTTATTTTTTAGAAAGGAATATTTTAGTATTCTAGGTATTGATTTTATTTATGTATTGTGCATCAGTGTGTGATGTATTGTTTTGTTTTTTGTGGTTTGTTAAAATGAGGAGTAGGATAGAACTTTCATTGTGAATTTATTTTTGCAATGACAAAAAATCTAGATTTGTCTAATCTTATCGAATGTTATCTTCTCATACCCTGACTTATCTTATCTCTTATGATTGTGCCTAACTGAACCATCAATAACATCAAACCTACACAAGATTAGAGATGTGTTTACACTATTACTATGCAAAAGGTCAGTTCAATTTTTAATTCAAAGTTTCTCTTTTCATGTTTTATTTTTGCATGTTTATCTCTCATTTGGAAAGCTTGTTAAATTATTCTGCATTACTTCATAACATTTCTGACACTAATTAGTCCATCAGCGACAGTTGTAACAACTGTGGTCCACTGGGAAGACTTGGATGCAGCGATTGCAAACGTTTCTAAATTTAAATAGTGAGGGATAGCTTTATGAAACCTGTAAAACCTATAAAAGCCCAACTGAATTCAAGAGAAAAGCAATGCGATGAATGTCACACTAATATCCACAGGGCCTCTATGATTGATGCATTTCAATTTAAAGTATTCAGATTGAATAGAACATTTTTAGGAATTGTTGATTTTGCAAGACGTAATTCCAAGACATGAACTCATCTGTGAAAAATGTCTCTGTGACCAACTTTGTTCTGGTGGGACTTATCGAACTTGATTCATTTCGATATGTATGTGCAGTTTTTGCTCTTGCATTATTTTCAGTCACATTGTTTATGACTTCTATGATTGTCTATGTAACCTGGACAGAGAAAAGCTTGCATGAGCCTATGTACATCTTAATATGCATCATGGTTATCAATGTGATGTCGGGGAACGCAGCATATTTTCCCAAGCTGGCCATTGACTTGTTTTCTGGATGCTCAACCATCTCACTTGCAGGATGTCTCTGTCAATCTTTCTGTATTGATATTTATGGAACTTATGAAATATTTACTTTTACAATATTGGCATATGATCGATATCTGGCTGTAGGCCACCCTCTGAGATATCACACTCTGATGACCAACTACACAACTCAAACAATATCACTTGTCATATATGTTTACAATGTGGTGATAGTAACAGTGAGTACATTGTTGGTATTAAGACTGACATTTTGTGGGGTAAATGTTAACAACGTCTATTGTGAGAGCATGTCTCTACAACCGCTTGTTTGTAACGATATAACAATTAATGTCATCTATAAACTACTTTGACCTTGTTCAATTTGATTTGGCTGCTTGCTTGTAATAATGTACTGTTACATAAGAACAGTAGTCATCTGTCTGAAACTCTCTGCAGAATCCTCCCAGAAAGCTCTGCGTACATTGGTGACCCACATGTTGGCCTTCTCCACTTATATTTTCACCCTCTTGTTCCTAAATTTCAGGTACAGTCTAACCACAGGTTCTATGTCAACCAAAGTTGATGTTATCATACCTTTGATCGCTACCGGCATAATTACTTCTGCAAACCCTCTGATCTACGGGATAAAGGACCAAAGCTCTCAGAGAAAGAATTGTATGCAAACTGCATAAAATTGTTGGCCAAACAAAAGAATAAAAATTATTTTTGATTTTTTTTTAGCAGCAGTCTTACCATTGTAAAGATGTGTTATTCTTCTAAATTTCTTTTTATCTTTTTGGGGATTTTGTAGGAAACAGAGGGTTGTAGTTGAGCCTGTTGGAGTGTGCCTGTTAGTGTTCTCTATGTATGGACTGTACTGTCTCAGTCACTTGCTGCATGAGCTTGCCCCATCCGGGTGTGTTAGAGAAGTGTCATGCTGAGTTATGGGTGTTTATTATAGTGCCAATCAGCAGGCTTGGGGCTTATGAGCTGGTTGTGAAGGTATTAAATATTTCAGATAGTTCAAGGCACATAGTCTTCTCTCATGAGCTTCTGTCTGGTGATGATGATGATGCTACAACGAGTACTATCTTTCTCCCATTCCTGTTAGCCTAGGGATTGGAGTGCTGCACAAAATTTCCTCTACTGCCTGCAAGGGATATGAGAACTACACACCTAACACCCTGCTACAGCTGATGGTGGACCTGCTGCTCACACACCCACGTGTGTCCCTTCTGTCTGGGGGCGGCTCCTCACCCCTGTAAAATGCTGCTTGCAGTAGATACGCCTCTGCCTGGAGGTGTCTGTAACATGGAACATGATTTGGCACTGCTGGAAGATTGGTCAAAGAAGTGGAAACTGCAGTTTAATGTTTCTAAATGTAAAATAATGCACCTAGGGAAACAGAATCCCTTGAGAGAGTACAACATTGGGGGTACATTTTTGCCAGCACTACAGTGGAAAAGCCTTTGGGGGCACTTATTTCAGATGACTGCAAAATGAGCAAACAGTGTGACCAGGCAGTGGGGAAAGTGAATAGAATTGTATAGATGCATCACTAGAGGGGTCACCAGCAGGAGGAAGGAGGTCCTGATTCCTCTATATAGATCTTTATATCACTAGAGGGGTCACCAGCAGGCGGAAGGAGGTCCTGATTCCTCTTTAAAGATCTTTAGTTAGACCTCATTTAGAATACTGTGTCCAGTTCTGGAGACGTCACTTACAAAAAGATATTAATAAGATAGAAACAGTCCAGAGATGGGTAACAAAATGGTGAAAGGAGTGGGAACTTTGCTGAAA